GTTTGTTTTTAGGATGATATAGCAAAAAGTGGAGTGCATGTAAGTGGAGTCAATTGGCAAAAAAGAGAAAAGAAAACAGGGGAAATTTCTACAATTTTAAAATAGCACACAACTTTGCTATTTTGTTCAATCTATAAAATTTCACCATTTGATTGAACTGAAATTTTGTTTGTGGGCGTTCAAGAGACATTGATTTATATTTTGAATGGTCAATTTTTCATTTGGAGCTTTATAGATTCTGATTTTATGCCCAGAACAGTAGTTGATTTCTAATAATCTTTTTCTTTTCTTTTTTCTTTGTGGTCTCATTTTCTTTGTTAGTTTGTGGCTTGCTATTCCTCTTATTTGGTGTTGGGTTTTTCACAAACCCAGGTGTTAAAGAACTTGTTTGCTTCAATAGGTAGAAAGAGAGGGAAGAAGAGAGGGAGGAGGAAGAAAGTTGAGAAATTGGTGTTGAACGGTTGAAGAGGACGATGGAGAGACAAGAAGAAAAAAGGGTATTATGGGGAAAAAATAGCTTTAAGAATAAATTTATAATTTTATTTTTATAATTATTCATTTTAAGGAGTGAGCACCCATCATCGCATGTCGAACCGGTGAGTGCATGAATCTTTATCCTAACTCAATACTTTGACATGTATTTTTATATGCAATATTTTACTATCTCCTTTTAAATACAAGAAAAATATGTACTCCAACGGATCAAGTACCCACAGATATCATAGATAGCCAACTCGATGCTCAACCCTAAGTATAAGACAATGGAGATTGTAATTGAGTGGGCCTGTTATCTCTAAATCCCTTCTTCTTCTTGTTTTTTTTCTATTTTTTTTTTAATTTTTTTTAACATCTCATATAATATTTATAATGTTCCAAACCTTGTATCCTTTGTCCCTCCGAAAATTCAAATAAGAGACTGGATCTTGAACTAATAAGGCTGGGGTGGAAATTTTTGTTGGTAAAGAAAATAAATATTGCCAAGTAGTAAAATCTCAGCTAAAAATAGAACAAAGAGATGTGTTAGTGAAATAAAAAATTTATTTTATTTATTAACAATTAATTTTATATTAAATATAAATTTTATGCTTTTTTTTAAACAAGAAGAATTTGTAAAGAAAGAAGAATATATCTGAAATTTAAATTCAAATCATTATATTTACTGTATTTATATAAAAAATAATCATTAAATCATAAAAATTAAATAAATATAAATTTTATATTGAAACTTATATATACAACGTTTACAAATATATTATCATGTATCAAATCATAATTAAATTTGACTGGATGGCACTGGCCACAACAGCTCACCGGCTGTGGGGTAGGGAGATGATAACAGCTCCTTAAAAAGGCAAAGGTTATTTGTTTTTTTCGGTAAAAAAGGGTAAAGGTTATTTGGTGTCCACAAGGTGGGTCTATGCCTTGAGACATTGACAAAAGACACTAAAATACAGAGGATTTTTTTCGTACCATTCGGTCTAATAAATGGAAATGGACCCTCTCTCGTTGAACTCGTATCTCCTGCATGTCATGTTTACCGTTCTTTGGGTTTGGGAACCGAAGGAAAATTAATTGGGTTGGGTAGAGAAGAACTACCAGCAATTAGAAACAATAACCAAACTCGGAAGTTGAGTATTTTCTTGATTTTTTTTTCGAAGGAATTATTGTGGCTCTGAAGGAGAGGTCTCCCCAGCTGATATTCCCAAATGCGAACTGTAGTTTTTGGACTTAGAGTAAAGGGAAGTAGCAGTAGATTTTCATTTGGGGTTAACATACGTGAGAGTGACATCTAAGGAAACACGTGCACACTTGGCCAAGTGGGTGTTAATATAATTAATCTACTCAAGGACGTATTAGATCTCTTGCACTTGTTCTAAGAAAAATATATCTTGAATTTGAGACAATGGAAAATTGTGTATACTTCATATAAATCTTATAATGGAACTACATTGAACTGCTTGGAATCTGCATTCTGCAAAGAAAGAATCCCAATGAAATATTCGAATCTGCAAATTTCTTCCATTACTAAAACCAAAGGCAAAAGATGAAAATAGCTCGGAAGGACAGACTGCAGAGACTTAATGGTTTTTGTAGGAGTTTTGGATTTAGATCCACATTCAAAATCCTGCCCATTGACTAATAATTAATACAATTACTTTCTAACTAGCTACTAGGAGTTCCGGTCATTTGGCCAAATTTAATGTTGGCTCTACACCGCAGTGACAGTCTCACCTTTGGTGGTACCAGTGGCAGCAGAGGATGCAACAGCTTCATTCTTCGAGGCCAAGGAACACTTCTCCTTTTTCTCATCTTGGGTCATCTGGAATTGCCTGCACTCTAAGCTGCAAAAAGCACTATCTCCCCTGCAAACAAAACCAAGAATAAGCAACAAAATTAAAAACTCTATATGAAGCTTACCAACCAAAATTGAATAATAAATTAATTATGTGAGAGAAAGCAATACAAATCTTAACAACAGCAATATTTTAGGTTGAGTTGACATTTTAGTCGTACGGAAGATATAAAGGAACATGTATGTATCCATGAAAGGCTCGTATATAAAGTTTTTAGATCGATGTTAAGGACATAAGTGGACTAAGGAAGACATTTCAAATTTGAGTCGTAGTCGCAGTATGTATGCAAATGGAGTATGGGGGAAAGCAACGAAAAGAGAGTAACTCCACCACACAATCCAAATCAAATAAAAAATAGATTTTTTAGTTCAAAATGATGTTCAAGAAGTGTAGATTGAGTCTTCCTTCCTCGTGAGGTCTGATCTCTCCGACATGATGATTATGAACAAGGAAGAGAAAAATTAGTATATAACCTGTACATGTAGATATCGCGGCCAGGAATAAGACGGCGCTTGCAGAGAGAGCAAGCGCTCAAGAAGTTAGAAGTTCGAATAAAATCACTGGAATGCCTCCTATAAATTCCCGGCGACGCCACCGAGTCCGCTAAAAACCGTTGATCCAGCCACTCGCTGCCAGCCCCACCACCGTAAATTCCCGCCTCCTTTTGGCAGGTACCGTTAAAATAGTTCGGTGTAGCTTCAACCGCGTCGGTGTTTAGATCAAAAGTGATCTCCGTCAAGCTCGTCGTCCTCTTCATCGGCCGTCTTGGCCTCTTTCCCAGCAACATCATGCTATTGTTTACTTACAAAATTTTTCTCGAAAATTCGAAACTCAAAGATCTCTAACAGTGAGTAGAGGCTGAAATATTGATTTTTTTCTTTTCGATTTTCTTGATGCTGTTCAGATGGGTAGAAAATTTTTGAGAGTCGAGGGAAAGTTTTTCCGGGGAAGAGAAGTGGGAGTGACGGGAGTGGAGATGGAGAAATAAAAGAAGAGCCAGAAACCGAGGAATGAATCTGATCCGTTGGATCTTTATCAGTGAAAATACACGTCAGCATTTTTGTTAGTTTATTTTTCTGGGAAATGGTAGGCGAGAAAAACATATTTTTAATCCATCACGTTACCAAGTGTGGAAAGTTTTAACTTTTTATATAATACCATAATAGTTTTAATTTTTTACCTTATTAAATTTAAAAATTTTAATTTTTTATTTATTAGAATCGAAAAAATTGAAAAAAATAATTCTTTTTTTATATTGACAATTAACTCTGTTAATTTAAAATAAATTTTTATTAAATAATAATCAATTAATAAAATTAATGAAATATGAAAAAAATAATTCTTTTTTTATATTGACAATTAACTCTGTTAATTTAAAGTAAATTTTTATTAAATAATAATCAATTAATAAAATTAATGAAATATTATAAAATTAATTTTTATTAACTTTATTAACTAAAAAAATTTTG